TGATGGATCGTATAGAAGGACTCTGATCAGTTTGGATTTGGACGAACCGCGGGATATTATTGTGGATCCCATTGACGGGTAGGTTTTAAGCTGTGTTAACACCTCTATTAAGAGGGCGTCTCTGTAAGAGCGGACCACTCGATCTGGGCTTCAAAAATAGATTTCTCTTATATTTCTACCGTCGATACTTTCATCTATCCTAACTACGAAACTGGAGTTAAGATCGTTCAAACGTGGTTTTTACAACCGCTATGCGAGTTTTTGTCCCAAGACCTAAGTTAATTAAAATATGCCGGTTTCTGAAATCGCCAAAGCCTACAATCACAGTCAGCTTTTTCTATTTTCTCTGCTAATCAGAACTTCGTTTTCGGGTTTGAACTGCACTAGAGTGCTCTTTCTACTCAGAAATAGTAATATATAGCTGTTTAGTTGCACCTGGCAAATAAATAAAATTACTAATCGAGACCCTTCAACGCATGATATCAAATTCGAGAATTATCAGTCCTAAAACATTGCAGAATTCTCATTTGTGGCACCTGTCCAGGTTCTAAATCGCTTTTAAACTTTGAAATAGGATGCTATTCCACACATCCACACAATACAATTTGGGGCACATACAGGGTGTATAAAAAAAACGCAACCTCGGAATTTCCTGAGAAATTACTTTGCAATTCTTAAGCATAAAAGATTTTAGGCCCCTGGAGATTGAAATCGCATTGCTAATAGATCATATTACTGTTGTTGTGCATTAAATAAATGCATAAATTTTGCTTTATGCACTCGCCTGTGCAGTAATTTTGACAGTTGTGCTATTTTAAATTCCCAGGCGCCTAAAATCTTTTGTCTTAAAACAATGTCGATTTCTTGGGAAATTCGGAGGTTGCGTTTTCTTTTATACAGGGTGTCTCAAAAAAACCCAAAATCATTGAAATTGACGTATTGTTCGATATTCAATGCCCTAGCACTAAGTTAATCCCACGAGTGCATAAAAGATTGACATAACTGCTATAATGAATGGTAATACTCAGCGTAAACTTGTTATGTCAGGCATAAAGTACAAAACCCACGAATTTACGAAGCATTTTTAAATTCCCATGAGCAAACAAACGTTCACTTTACAAAGATATTTTAATTTTTTAAAACAAATTAATCACCCTGTCAAAATCCTTTGTGTTACGGCATTGAAATTCGAACAATACGTTATTTCAATGATTTTGGGGTTTTTTTGAGACACCCTGTACAGGGTGTCCCCAAAAAACCGAAAACTATTGAAATCACTAATAACAATTTAATTGTCAGCATTTAAATGCCTTAGCGCTCTGTTGGTTCCCACGAGTGCATAAATGATTGACATAAGTAAATTTTATGCATAAAGAAACTGTTTAAGAAGACGTTTTTAATTCCCACGAGCAGAAAATCGCGCACTTTACCAGGAGATATTCCTAACTAAATTCTAATACATGCACCTTGTCAATATTTTACGCATCATTACATCCAGCTGTTTGGTAGGTATTAACAATAAGTGATTTCAATAGTTTTCGGGTTTTTTGGGACACCATGCATGTCAGTCCCTGGGGACTGTTTTATTTATTAGCCTCGCTATTATTGCCGAAAAATCAACAGCACGTTGAAGACCTATTCCTAAATGTCCTTTGTCTGATTCGTATTAATGCCAAATAAATCCTGTTGAGCAGTCAAAATGACAAATTATAGCCCGACAAAGACAGAAATACAAAGACAGCGATGCACAGGAACAATTGTCATGACATATAAACTCGATAAAAGACTGCTAAATGGTAACCATGCTTTTATAAAATGCGGTGCCGCTTTACAAATAAAACTTTCCGGCGTTTCCGCCTACGAGCTGTGCTACAAGTAAAGGATATATCATTTTGTAGTGCGCTACATTCCTACTTTTGGCGGGCAGTTGTTCCGCACGATTGTTTATAACTTCGCTTTAAAACCTTCAAAATAAACTATTGTCGGATCAAAATACTATCAAAATGAAGAGAAAAGTGAGACGAATCCATTCGTATACCGCCGAAAAAGAAAAAACTAACAACACGAAAGTTATCAAGGATCAAACCTACTGCATTTTTAATTAGTTCGAATAATTTTGAGCGATTTGTCAATTGTCAAGGTAATTTCGCTTGACTTTCAAAGGCCATAAATCGCTAGAATTCTACTGTTTAGTAATGAATTTGGCATCCGTATGTACAATTTCGTACGCTGATTCGAACGACGGTATTTTTGTCCTCGTTGAGTCACATGGGTGCATAAAACCAGACCGTCTGCCGTGGTAGCTGTGATTAACTTAGCACGGATTGACGGACACCGCAATTTCGCATATTTGGGTACTTATAATGTAGAATAATGAAAAAAATTTCCCGAACTCAAATTTTGTGAACCAGGGGGTGTGTCCTTTCAAACAAACAAGAAACTGGCTTGCGCACAAAATGTAAAAGCTTTAATCATATTTTGAGTTAATATATAGATGGAACATTTGTTGGGTTTTATTTACTGTACAAAATTTCAGACAATTTGCATTAGTCTAAGCCCTTTAACTATTAACGCAACTTACATTTTTTCCTACAAAATCAACTATTTGAATGCTTAATTAATGCCTTTGCCTAATTTGCATATGTCAGCAATATGCAAATTAGGTAAAGGCATTAATTAAGCATGCGAAAGGCTGATTTTTTCGGAAAAAATGAATAGTTAAAGGGCTTAAACTAAAGCAAATCGTCTGAAATTTTGTACTTTAATTAAAAACCTAACACATTTTACATCTATCAACTCAAAATATGATTAAAGTTTTTAAATTTCGTGCGCAAACCATTTTTATTTTGTTGGAAAAGACCCCCCCCCCCTGGTTTACAAAATATGAGTTCAAGAATTTTTTTCATTATCCTACATTATAAGTACCCAAGGAAGCTATATACATCAAAAACTGGATACTAATAGCTGTTTTTCGAAATTGTGAGCAATTTCAAATATGCTCAGTTTTTTTATACACCCTAGTCCCAGCGAGTTAACGCTCTTTCGAGCGCCTTGTTATTAATTCATTTCTAAAATCATTTTGGAACCCTTTTTTGAGCTGTGGCCTGCGTGGAAAGTATCCCCCCTGACCCCTCCGCCCATGTGTAAACACGTTTGATTTTGACCAAAGACCAATTGAGTCCATTTTTGAATAAAATTTGTAAATCGAAAAGTCAAATTTTGCCGTACCTCTACGAACTGGTCTCCTCCATTTCGCGGCGACAGAGGCTAGCCCGTTTAAGAGGGCGTCTCTGTAAGAGCGGACCACTCGATCTGGGCTTCAAAAATAGATTTCTCTTATATTTCTACCGTCGATACTCTCATCTATCCTAACTACGAAACTGGAGTTAAGATCATTCAAACGTGGTTTTTACAACCGCTATGCGAGTTTTTCTCCCAGGACCCAAGTTAATTAAAATATGCCAGTTTCTGAGATCGCCAAAGCCTACAATCACAGTCAGCTTTTTCTATTTTCTCTGCTAATCAGAGCTTCGTTTTCGGATCTGAACTGCACAAACGTGCTCTTTCTACTAAGAAACAGTAATATATTTCAGAATTCTCATTTGTGGCACCTGCAGCAACCTTAAAATTTCTAGATGCACAATTGCCTAGCAAAATATACCATGATACATGTGTGATTTCGTCTCTCACTTAATTATTTGAAAATTATATTGATTGAAGACTTAATTTCATTATATATTTTCAGTTATATATACTGGACTGATTGGGGTCATTTTCCAAGAATCGAACGTGCCTACATGAACGGAGAAAACAGAAAGGATTTGGTGAACCACACTCTTCGCTGGCCCAATGGTCTGACAGTTGATCATGTCTATAATAAGTTGTATTGGGCAGATGCTTATGAGGACAACGTAGAAGTTATGGACCTCGCGACTCTCGAAAGAAAAGTTGTCCTGAACAAGAAATTACTATTTTGTAAGTCAAACACTTTATTAAACACGTCAAGTCAAGCCTTTCTTCACATGGGATAGCTTTATTGTTCTATTAACTCAAATGTTTCTCCCTAGAAGTCCAGTAAGGGCCATCGCTCATTGGCCCAGTGCTACTAGAAAAGGCATCCTATAAACTAAATCTATTATCACTCACTGGATAACTGTTAGAAATTTAGGTCTACATCGTATTTTAAGCTATTCAAAACACTCGGACTCGCGTTTTATCATATCTAAAACGCTCGGCTGCGCATCGCGTTTTAAATATAACAAGACGCCGACTCGGCGTTAACCTCGAGTCGGTAGATACGGGATCGTCTGGTAAATATCCAAAAATTGTGTAAACCACGATAGTTTAACAGTTCACTAGTATAAATGGTGAATCAGTTAATCAAAGCTCCGTTTTAATATTTTATTGATAATAATTACTGGCCCTCATCAAACCTATTGTTTTCTCTCTGCATTATATCAGCGAATGTCGAGAAGTTTTCATTTAACGTTCTACTGAAAAGCGGGAGCGGCCTTTTTGGTTGCATAGGGAAATACCGGCTCAGGGGTAAATGTTTATGCGCGTCATATTCTATGTACGCGTTAAAATAGCACACAACATTATTAAAAATAATGCAGCGTGTATCAGTGCACACAGACATTATTAGCAATAATGCATCTTCGTCACCCTGACATGTACACGCGATAACGTGAACATCCCAAGATGAGAAGGTGACAGTGCTAAAGGCCCCCCATACGGTGTCGTCGGGTGCCTGAAGCACTGTTGGAAACGGTCGCTGTGAGTCTTTTCAGTTCAATTTTATAGAGAAATAGTTTCGTTTGCGCTTGTGGGATTTTATTCGAGATATACGCATGTGCAGAATGCACCATAAGTTCTATTCCCGTGTTTATCCAATACGCTATTTGAGTAAACCTTATCATTAATGATAATATGTAAACTAGAACACTATAATAAGTTCTTTGTATGTTTGTATGGTGATAAAATATAATAGGTTTTGTTTGTGGAAACACCACGTAAATTTATTACTGCAAAGCTTTCGATCCGTAATTATTAGCACTGATGAAGATCCGGCCTTACGGATCGAAAGCTTTGCAGTAATAAATTTACGTGGTGTTTCCACAAACAAAACCTATTAGAACACTATAATTTGGAGATTTTAATTTAGGGCGATTAATTAAACTGAAATCTGTTCTATCACAATGCACTACAGTGCCTATGGTTATGTCTATATGCATGTCCTCACAAATGTCTAGTGTAACGTTGGATAGGTTCATTGTCATACGGTCTCGACAAGCAGCAACGTACAGTAGTCTTCCAGCCGAAAATAATTACTTTTGATTCGGGTCAGTAATTATAATAGATAACAAGTGAAAGTTGGCCGCGGTATTCCCATGCTATGCATACGAAGTATTGTGCATTATATCAACATATACTCGAGAATAGTTATCCAGCTAAACATGTATGTCAAAATTATCACATCTTCTGGTTTATCAAATTATCACATCTTCGGATTTTGTGCAAGGACAGCTTCGGGTTGCGTTTCGCTTTGGCCGATGCTTGAAATTTTCCGGAAGAACACTTATTTACCGGAAGTTGTCGTCTCCTCCGCAGACTCTTCGACTACGCGCGCGGCTCGACACAAATGGAAAAAAAAATAGGAGCCGAATTTATGACCTCGGTGTCGTACCTACCCGAGGTAATAAAACACTCCTTCTCGTGTTTTAAATACTACATCAACCAATGTTGGTATCGCTAAGTACAAGAAAGTTAGGCTCAAGGAAGTATATCATTCACTCAAGCCTTAAGTAATCAAATTACACCCCCTGGTTAAGGGTTAGTCCTGTCAATGGAGGGTGAGTGGAGGGACGTAGCGATCGGGGGGTAGGTTAGAATTAGGTAAAATCCAAGTTGAAATTTGGGGATTTTCAGGCAAAACTTGCGTAAAAAAGTTATTTTTGTGAAATGATATCCATTTTTTTAAAATACAGTCAATTTAGATCCAATTTAGAAAACGCCAGAAATGCAGTCCTGGAGCATCAAAAATGTAAAAAAATTTTTAGAGGACGACCCCCCTCTTCCTCAGAAACTTAGTATACCAATGAAAGTCATTCCAAAACATACTCTATTATAATTAATACATTTCAGGTAAATTTTTAACATTGAAGTTCAAATTTCGAGTAAAATCCTCCGACACCCATCCCCCCAAATTCAGATGCTTCGCTTCAGATGACTGATTGAGTGTGAGTGTGAGCTAGTGAGTTTTTAGAATACAAACGCAAGTATTACCTTGAGTTATCCCTCATCGATATAGTATTATTACAAGAAGAAGACCGGGTCAAACTGGTAGCACTTCCACTCTTCGCATTTGAGCGATAGCCAACAGACAGACAGACAGACAGACAGACAGACAGACAGACAGACAGACAGACAGACAGACAGACAGACAGACAGACAGCTAGAGCTCTAGCTGGTAACAAATTACACTCGTACAGGCGTATAAAGCAGCAGACCAGATCACAGAGTTTTATTACACCTTACATGTTTTCAGACTCTTACATCGATATCTTTTTATTTAGTGGGCTCCCTATTACGCCTCACCACTGAAGTGAACCACCCCTATGGCCTAACATTACTAGACGATCATATATACTGGACTGATTGGCAAACTGATGCAGTATATCGTGCTGACGTGAACACTGGGGCTAATATCGTATTAATGGCGGGTAACCTTGGGAGACCTATGGATATCCATGCCTATAGTACTGTACCAAAACAACGTGAGTGTGTAACATTTTACAACAATATCCCAAAATGTGGCTGTCCAGTGTAGGTAGTATTCCACAATAAGTTGTCCTAGTTTGTGTCTGAACCACCTGGTAATATATACATTGTATCTCAAACTCCTGGGACTGGATCAAAATTAATTCAGTCCTTGGACTGGATCAAAATTAATTCACCTCACTTTAATTGGATTTAGACTGGATTACATTTCAAGTATTTGAAATATTACCTCAAACATGGTATCCGGTCCGGTGTAGGCAATATTCTACAACTAGGTTACCCACAGGGCAGTAATCTGCCTTTGACAGCAAAAGACAAACTACAGGATGTTGAACGAGTTCCTCACAAACATCCTATTATTCTTATCCTTAATTGTTAACTGCCTCCTCCGCAAGCTCCTCTATATAGATCAAATTTAAATATCAGTAATATATAGATCAGCGCGTGCACTGCAATAATTATTTGATAGCAAGCGACTGGGGACGAGGCAGAATTGTTAACCCATTTATTGACAGCGCCCTACCACTGACTGAGTATTAAAAATCGTCTGGCGTTGGACATGGTAAATACTAAACTCGTTACTGTGCTGATGGATTAACAAGAGCCATTGGCAGATAGGTTTGTTAACCCATTTACTGGCAGTACCCTGTACCACTGTCGAGTAAAATCTTCTGGCGCTGGACAAGGGAAGGGCGCATTGCCAGCTAATGGGTTAAACCACCGCGGTTAAACATAAGATTTGATGCTCCAGGAAATGTAAACAAACTATCAGTGTAACATCCCAGTTTATATATTTATATACTCCCTATTGATTTCTCGGTATATACAAAAGTATTTTAAAGTATAACAACCAGCGAAAACGTAAGCCACTAACTACCCTGTGCGGCTGCGCGCAGACTATATAATGACATATATATGTTATTCGTCCGTCGCCATCCCTCCGTCATTCATCCGTCCGTCCGTCCGTCCGTATCCGCGTTTTATCCTAACCGTTTTTAAAACACAAAGTTTGCATAATTAAGGCAATGCGGTTCGTCATGATCAACATTTTCAAAAGCCGCCAATTAGACCAGGGGTTAAAGGGCAATGACAATGACATGCAGGTGATATTTAACATTGCGTCTCACTAATTAAAATTTGCGTGTTTAATCATGTTTATCAAAGAAAGAAAAAATATATACAAGACAATCTCACATGTGAAAATTTTTCACTTACGTACTGCCTTGTGATGCAGTACAAGTATAAATACAAATGACAAAGTAAATCCTAAAACATAATTAAATCATACGGCACATTCAAGATTTTAATATCGTATTTCAGCCGTGCGTTTATACTGCTTGGGCATTCGCTGCGTTATATTAATTTATATACACAGAAAAGCATGTCATTGTCTTTGCGGACCATAGGCAACCCCCCCCCCCCAATGCCGTGTCCGTCGGCACAATGAATTAGTTGTCGGTAAAATGAATTGGACCAAGCCAACAGGCAATACCTGATTGGAGAGAGATTGTTTGTAGAAAATTTGTAGAAAATGCGAGATCGAAAAGATGGATATGTCGACTGAAAGCTCGGCCCTTTTCCGAACATTCAGCCAAATTGGCCAAGAATTTATTACGCTAATACGCTATTTAATAGTATTATATTTTCTTGCAATTTTGTGAAATATGATACCACAGGAAACTCGAAGCACATTTGCGTGTTGACTGTTGATGCGTCTGCCCTTCATTTCATAATTTTGTAAAGCCAGTAAAAGTCTTAGAAATTACACCTAACGGTCTTATATACAATGAGAAATACGAAGATGATTTAAAAGTATGGACAGTAGCAAGCAAAAACGCAAACGGAAGAGAGAGAAACTGACGTGTTTAGTTTGTAATTGGTCGTTTGATGACGATTGGTGTGCTTTTTTGAAATTTATACCATGTATTTTAAGGAACTATTTCGCCTATTTTAAAAATAAATTGTCTTACTACTCGGATTTCATCGTTGTACATCACTTAAAAATGAATACGGTTCGTTTTGACCACGCCCTAACAACGTGCTAGCCACGCCCTTTTGTCGGCAAAAAGTTGTCTTGCACCCCCCGAAAAGGATAGTCTTCGCTCCGCCCCTGGCAAAAAGCATCCGTCAACCACATATATACCAAATTTAAGCAATCGTTAAATCATATACATGTCATGGAAAGAATATGGAAATAATGTTGAATGAAAGCTAGCATCGCGTATAATGTTAAAAGCACCACATATTGTAGTGCTCGAACCACTGCGTATAATTGCAAAAGCACCGCGTATAGTGCTGGAACCACAGCGTATAATGCGGGAACCACCGCGTATAATTATGGCGAAAGCACTGTGTATAATGCCGAGAGCAACGCCGTATAATGCTAAAAGCACCCAACGAAATGCCATTTGATCACTTTAAGCCAGTTATGGCTTTCCATAAAAGAAGACCAAAGATGAAAGATGATCACATTGCCTGTTTGCCTTATGCTTGACCGCGCTGCACCACGGTTAAAATTCACTGGCATCGTCATGCAATGCGCCAAATAGAAAATTTTGATTTCGACCCACAAAACAAAATTAGGATCTGCTGCCTTGCTCGCACGCTTCAGGCTCGCTCGCTGCGGCAGCAATAAGCTGTCGTGGTTTGTGTCTGGACAACTTAAAAATATATCTCAAAGTTAGGGAGCGGTCATAAAGTAAGTGCTACCCCGGGGAGGAGGATATTTTTAATTATGTGAAAAAAAATTCATACCCCCACAAAATTGTCGGTTAATATTTGGTACCCCATCAAGATAACGGTCTCAATTATTGTTTCATACCCCATCTAAAAACAATAAGCTTACCGGAGTTTATTAATGTTGATATGACCTGGGGTGTGCTGATAGGGCTAAAAAATTCTGTTGACTAATTGCCATTATCCTATAAGTTTTATTTTTAGTAAGTTTTATCTTTCTTTAACTTAAAAATAACAAAAAAGTAAAATTCAAATCCAAAATGCTGTTTTTTGGCCCCATTGAATACGACCGCCTGTCAAAAAATGGCGAATATTGCTAATATTTTACCCATTTTGGTTATTTTATGTAAAGAGATAAAAAAAAAACATTTTGGATGTGATATTTTTGGGTCTTTTACATTCAAAAGACATACTTTTATGTTATTGCATACCTCAGATGTCCATAAACACCACCATATTTCTTTACAAGCTGGCATTTCTGTACCATATGAAAAGACATACAACTGAAACTGACCTGTCTCCCCATATAAACAATCCAAATCATTTTCTTAAAATACAAAAGAACAGTAACTCCGAATAACCTTTTGTTTTGAT